TTTATGGATCATTATCAACAACAACAACATCAATCAACTGAATTCCATTATTATCAACAACAACAACCATTGAATAATAGCCTTTTACATCATAAACATCGAAATCATAATCATCCGAATAATCATCATTATCATTATCATTATTCAACAACAACAACAACATCGACATCAATATTGAATGATCTTTACATGAATCATACTACAGCAAATTTAAATAACGCCAATAATAATGATAACGATGGTGGTGGTGTTGGTGGTGGTGGTGGTGGTAGTAATGTTGATGATAAAATATCATTATTTTTAAATTTAAAATCATCAACCGAATATTTAATACAAAATAATCATAATATTAATAATAATATAACGGAAACAATTGAAAATTTACGTGAATTTATTATGAATCTAGATAATTATTCATCACCATCATATCGTGCAACATTAACACGTCGTAATATATTAATAATAACATTTTATTTAACAATTGTGATTATATCATTATTTGGTAATCTAATTGTTTGTTATGTTGTATTTAAACGTAAACATATGCGTATATCAACAAATTTATTGATGACAAATTTAGCATTATCCGATTTAATTATGACTGTTATTAATATACCATTTAATTTGGCAAGAATTTTATTAAATGATTGGCCATTTGGATCATTATTATGTATACTGGTACCATTAATACAGGTCACTTCTGTGTAAGTATATGTTGTTGTTGTTTTCTCTTTATTTTTTAAAAAAATATGAAAATTTTTAAAAGAAAATTATTATCATCATCATCATCATTTAAAATAATAGCAATGCGGAAAAATAATTTAATTTTAACCAGATGTTTCAGAAAATGCTTACGCACACACATACACATAGGTTTATAAATTAACAATCAACTTAGAACAAAACAAAAAAAATATTCAAAGGGGAAAAAAAGTCACATCATTAGGATTGCTAATTGAATTTCACCCCCACACACACACACAAGCGGATATTTATGATTGTTTCAAAGCGAATACCAAAAACAAAAAAATGTACCGAAAGAATTTACGTTTGAATTATTTGGAAAAACTTTTCCGCTGTTTTTTTTGTGTGTGCATGTTTATTTCACCATTTTTTTAGAATGAAAGAAAAAAAATGAAATTCTGCTTCGCTGTGATAAATTGATGATTAGCAAATTGGTTTTTGTGTGAGGAGAATTTATTTATTTTCAAATTTCGTGTCTTATCGTATTATTATCGCTATCTTTTTTTCCTGTACATCATATTATTGAATTATATTCTCGTTTTTTCTCACCAAAAAATAATGATATGAATTTTAATAATTTTCTTTTTTTCAATGGTCATCATTATTCATAGTTGGTCACATTAATCATATATGATAATTAACTAATATGATAAAAATTGTGTGAAAAAGAGGGAGAAAGAGAGAGAAAGAGAAAGAGAGAGAATCATTATTATCGTATCGTTACAATATAATTATTTTTTCTGGTTAATCATCACAATATTTTTGTTTGTTTGTTTTGTTTGTTCACTGTTTTGATTGAGATATTTGGATTAGAAAACCAGAAAGGAAATATTATTCGGTTGTTGTCATCAATGCGGCAAAAGATAGTAGATAGATGTGTGAAAAAAAACATGCATTCGTATGATGGACAAATTTCAAATTTTGTTTTTTTTTTTATTTGTTTCAAATTTTCAAACAAAATTATTATTGTTGTCGCATTTAGATTGAAGAATTTATTTTAAATTTTGTGAATTTATTTTTTTTCGCATGATGAAATATTTTGTCTGGAAAATTTGAATATTGATAGCAATGATTTCAAGGAAACTATTTATTTTTTAAAATTTAATCAACAACAACAGCACAAAAAAAATACAATATTGATTCTAAATTGATGGGATGATTTTGAATAAAATATTCATACAAATGAAAAATCAAACGAATGAATTGTGAAATTTGTTTTTTTCCGGATTTTTTATTAAAGTAAATTTGGGTGGATTGTTGAATGTGATGATAAACATCATCTTAATCCAAAGTAATCGATCATTACGACATCTATTGATAATAGTTTGTGACTATAATGATAAATTTTTTTTTGTTTGTTTTCAATTTGTTTTTTTATTTCTTTGTCAATTTGGTTTTTATTGACAAGTAAATTATTGAATAGAATGATATCAGAATTCGAGTTGGATGCAAAAGTTATTGAATCAATTAAAATTTATAACCGTTTTTGTGTGAGTGTGAGAAAATAAAAAAGAAATTTGAAAAATCGAAATGAAATCCATTCGTTTTTCAAATTGAACCAAAAAAATGGACAAACAAAAATAACAAAATCATTTGACATTTCATTTCTAAAAATTCAGGCGATAGATAATAGGAAAAAATTTTCAATTATAGTCGACCAAATCAACCAAAACAACAACAACAACAATGAAGAACAAATGATGAGACGACAATTCTTTTACGTTTGGTCTATTGATTTGTTTCAACAACAACAACAAAAAAAAAAATTGTTCTGAAACAAAAATAAATTGCTCTTTTTTTTGTTGTTGTTGTCTAAAAATATAACAGAAAATTGTATGAAGGAAAATACCAAAATACAAAATAAAAATAAATAAATCTTATATTCAGGGAAAAAAATTAAATTATGTGATGGATACAACTATTATCAATTAATATGGATGAAAAACATGGTTTGTTCTCATGATGATGATAACAAATAACTTTGACGATAATAATGATATTGTCCAATTACATCATCTTTATATTTCCAGTATAATTTATTAGTTTTGTTTCTTTTTCTAGATTTCCTTTTTTTGTTTTTGTTGAATACACATTCTATCCGAATTGTAAATAATTTTTTTTCGGTTTGTTTGTTTGTTGGTTTGTTTTGTTTTCGATTTGACTTCCGGAAAACAAAATTTTTGATTTGTTTTGTTTGTCGAATGGATTTCCTCTTTTTTTTTCTTATCATAAATCAGACAGTTTTATCTGCGAATGTGTGATAAACAAAACAAACATTTCTCAACACATAAGGGAAATAAATGATGATGATGATGATAGTGATCAACAAAATTTATTTCATTGCAGACCAATTAAAAAATAAAAATAAAAATAAATATAAATATGATCAGTATAAGTAAATATGAATTTAGTGATGAAAATTATTGCGTTGAGCGAAATAAAAATAAAAATAATAACAATTTATAATTCTATTCTATAATCCAATTACAATTCCACAATAGTCATATTTTTTTATCAAAAAAATGATCACCCTTTAACATCATTAAATTCAGTTGTTGTTGTTTGTTTGTTTTCGGTTGAAAAATGTCAAAATAATAATAAAAATTTATATTTACCTTTATAAATGGGAAAATATTTTGAGTTTCTGTTGTTGTTGATAAACATTGTTTATTATTCTAGGAATTTTTTTTTTGTAAATTGAATAGATTTTCCAAACAATCGAATAATAAATCAATCGAATAAAAAACCTAAAAGAAAATCTCGAGAATTTGCAAAACGATATACAATGAAAAAATGAATGAAAACCCCCCCCAAAAAAAATGTTTGTTTGATAAAATTCCTAAAGCTATTTTTGTTTTTTATTTTTCGATTTTCATTTGAATGAAAATTGAATGTTATTGAGTTTTTCATTTTAATTCATTGACAAACAAAAAAAATGTTTGTTCATTCAAATACAAATGAAATGATTAAATAAATTGTGCGTAAATAGTGTGTAATAGTGCATGAATATATCGGATTGTGAAATATTATTTTTTCCCATTTCAGAATCATATTTAAATCGTAAATAGTCAAATATAGGTACAATATATAAGATGGAAAAAAGAGAAAAATATCAGTTGAATTAATCATGATCTAGGTTCATTTTTTTTTTAATAGTTTTGTTTCGAAATTTTGTAAATATATTATATGTTTAATATTTATATTGACAATCTGAAAATAATGTTATTCTGTTTACTGTTTATCAACCAGAATAATAATATCGCATGCGTATTTATTGATATTAATCATTGATTTAACTAATAACTTGATTGATTGATTGATTGATTTTTTGTTTGTTTTTTGTTTTCTTTATCTGATTTTCTTGTTTCCTGTTTTATTATAGATATGTTTCAACATTAACAATGACAATCATTGCTATTGATCGTTATCAAGCAATTCTGAATCCATTAAATAAACGTATAACAACAACATTATCAACATCATTAATTATAATTGTAATATGGATTGCTGCAGCATTATTTTCAATACCGAATATTATATTCAATCGTGTTGTCAATATTGGTCATCTACAACGTTGTCGTGCTATATATCCAAAACCAGAAATATCATATCGTCGTTTTGTAACATTATTTACATTTTTAACACAATATGCAATACCATTATCGATAACAGCTATTGCTTATATAAGAATTAGTTTTTATATTTGGAGTAAATTAATCAAACCAAATACAAGTGATGAAAATTTGGATGATATTAATTGTGTTACAACATCATCAAATAATGATGTACCAATGATGGCAACAACATCTATAAAATCATTTAGTAAATCAAATGATAAAATCGATAATGTAATTCATTTGACAAATCATAATATGAACAATGATAATGTCAATCATCATTATAAACATCAACAACAACCAACAAATAAACAACGATCAATAATAACAAAAACAAGTTTATCAAAATATCATGCCAGTATAAATACATTACGTGAACGTTCAAGAAGAAAACCGATCAAAATGTTAGCATTAGTTGTTGTCGTTTTTTCAATCTGTTGGTTACCATTAAATATATTTCATTTAAATTCAGATTTTTTTTCAAATAATCGTATAAGTGATCCAAATATATTTTTCATATGTCATTGGTTTGCTATGTCATCGGTTTGTTATAATCCATTTATTTATTTTTGGCTTAATCATCATTATCGTCAAGAAATTAAACATTTAGTTAGATATCTAAATATTCTTTGTATGAAACAACATAGACGTAGTACATCAACAAAAACAACAACAACAGCAACAACAATGATGATGATGAGAACATCAAATGTTAATAGACAATTAGTAAATCATCATTCAATGATTGAACCACAAATAATTTTAAATAATAATGATGATGTTGATATTAATGATAAAAGTCAAAGAATACCTTCTTCATCATTATCGAATGATAAAAAACAACGAAAACAATTTCGCTCAAACGTAATTACTACTCATCATCATAGTTTTCATGGACCATTCAATAGTTTTCAATTACAGCAACGAAAGAAAAATACATTACGGTCAATCAATGAAAAATTTAATGATGAAAATAATAATAATAATAATAATACTGTTGACAATGATCAGAATTTAATTTCGGAACATATGGATAAAACTATCAACCATGAACGGTCTATTGATCATAACAATGATGATAATAATAATAATGATGATGATCAAATTATAAAACAAAATGTTAATGAATGTAAAATAAAAATTACATCAAATTTCTATAGTATCGATCAATAGTAATCGATATTTTCATTTTCTTTGTAAAAATTTTATTAAATTTAAATCCATGTATATGATTGTTTTGCTTATTATTATTATTATTATTTTTTGGTTTGTTTGTTCTATTTTAAGAATTCCAAATGAAATTCCTTTTCCTCTAAATCTTTTTCCTCTATTCAATTATAAATAAAATTTGTATTTCCACTCGAATAAATGATCCTGCAATGTGATTCTTGTATGATTCAAGAATAAGAAAAGAAAATCATCACCGCCATCATCATCTTCTTTGGAAAACCATATGATGTATATTTAAAATGATTTCGGATTCTTTTACACATCTATGCCCACAAAATATATATCAAACAAATATGATAGTGAATGATGTGAGAAAACAAGAATAAAACAAAATATTTCCAATTCGTTCATGCAGATGTTTTTGTCATTGAAAAGATTCAAATCAACAATATCAACAACATGTTTATAATAATAATATTATTACATTCGTTTATATGTTCGTTTTTTATAATATAATTTTCGCTTTATAATAATAACTATTGCCTGGAACAAGTATTTATTTATTTTTTTTTTGTCTTGTGACTTGCGCTTCGCCATGCGAATTATGAACTTATTAATATTATTATAGAAAACCGAGAATTTTCGATGATTATGAGGGTGGTGGTGATGCATAACATGTAGATGATGTTGTAACAACTTTATATAACAAATATAAACCATACAAACAAATTTGTCATTCAACCGATCATTTTTTTTTACTTTCACTCTTTTTTTCTCTTCTTCTTGAAAATTGTCAATTATGAAATGTTGTTCTCGGATATTATTTATTTTTATTTTCACACACACATATATTTCTGCTTGAAAAAAAATTATCACGGAATTGGAACTAATAATAGAATGACAAGCAAATACATTCGGTGTTTTTTTTACAAAAAAAAAAAAAAAAAAAAAAACCAAAAGGTTTGAATTTCCGTCAAAATCATTTTTATAATAATGATTATTGTCTATCAACCAACCCAAGAATTC